TACTATATAAGTACTAATACTAGTAGTAAAGGCTTAGTTTAAGCGGCTTTTTCTTATTATTATACGTCTTAATAAGATAGATATAGGGAAATCCAGCGGTATTCTTCGAGTTATAGTTATAGATAAGGGGGATTAGTTACTTCCTATCTACCCCTTCTAGTAGATATCTCTCGTAAATATCCTTTATAAGTTAAATCGCCTTTACTGAGATATAACTATAAAGAAGTTAGTAAAGCTTTTTACGTTATATTAGAGTATATATCTTCTAATCTTCGATCTAGTGCTTAATCTTTACGAATTAACTATCTACAGTGCGGGTAAAGCTCTGGAGTATAATAAGTAAATTGTTATTCGAGATATATAGCCCTAATTTTAATAACTAATATACACTCTTAGTATAAGAGGTAGCTATCTTATCTAAATAGAGGTATTTCGCAGTGTAAATATAAAGAAAGTACTTAGGGTAGTTATCTAGCTATTTACTCTAGATATACTCGATTAAAGGCTAGAAGATCGGATCAGAATACCGCTCTTTAAAGTATACCTACTAGCGCTTATATTCTTTAACAGTAATAGTATAAACGACCCGATTCTAGCGTTTTAATATTTTCTTCTAGCCTTCCTCGACTTTCTTATAGTCTTCTCGGAGCTATATAGTAGTATAACGTTAGGATTAAGAGGATATAAGGGTATTATATTATACCTAGGTAAGCTAATCAGCGAGAAGTAGATAGATATATTTTATAGTATTTATATTAATATACTAAATATATATTATATACTTAGTATTCGGAAAGATAGTCTTAATAGTATTTATTAATACTTTCTCTTTATTAGTCAGAATTATACGCAGAGGATTAAGACTAAGGGACTTATAGACTTCTATAAGGTACTTAAGTATAACTTTGTATAAATTATCCTTCTTATCCTATATAAATATAAAGGTAAGGTAAAAGGTTTAGTCTATTGCTATAAAGCCGATAATATTAAATAAGGGTAAACAATATCGATTTATTTTATAGGTATAGTCTATCGAAATAACCTAAGGGTTTATTTTAAGTATCTTAACGTTTATCTTATATATATAGAATAAAGCAGTGATATAGTTTTTATTGTTAAGCTTATACTTAAATATCTAGGAACTATCCTTCGGTAGTTCTTTAAGCAGCGCCTAAAGCAGTGTATAACTAGTAAAAAACCTTATATTTAACTTTATCCGGGTATTGTAGATATTATAAGAGATAAGGGAGCTTTCGGGGTTAGCCTTACGTATTTCAGTAAGGATTTAATAGATCGTATATCCTTATTTAAGCGTATTCTCTACCTTATCCTTCTTCCGAGAAAGTTCGAGAGCCCGCTGAGTAGTATAGGTTAATATTAGCGAGGGGGGATAATTATATATAGGATTCTTAACAGTAAGATACTAAATATTGGTTTAAAGATTAAGCCTAAGGGTAATAGAAAAGGGGTATTCGTATATAATAGTTATAGTATTCTATCGCTTTTTAGGAGGAGAGCGATCCTGCGTTACCTTCCGGCCACAGTTATAAATAATACAAATCGTCTTTTTAACCCTACGTTTTATAAATTTCGACCGACGGCTTATTACTGTATATCCGATCACTCGGTAGAAGCGGGAACGTAAAGCTTAGGATCGGCTCGGCGGGAGGGGACTCGGTACTTAGTAGTACAGTGCTAGGTAGAGTCTCGCTGATTAGTGTAGTGCCTAGTGGAGACTCGGGGATAATCTCTAGCTCGGATTCCGAGTCGGAAATTAGGTAATCGAGGCCTAAAGAGGCTATAGTAATAATACTTTTTGATAAATTGATAACAGATTTGATAGATTTAAAGCTGTTAATAATAGAGAGATTGATAGAGTCTAATAGGTGTAAACTGGAATTAGAGTATTGATTTATTTGATCTAATCTATATAACAAAAGTGACTTGATTTTATATAGGGTTTATATACAAATTGTAGGTACCTTCTGTCTACTACTATTGTGGAAGGAGTGTACTAGGCAGGCGGTGTATAAGATTAGAAAGCGGTGTGGAGAGCGGTAAGCTATACCCTGAAATTTCAGGCAGGGGGGGGGGGGTCCCTGTATCAATCCCCTTTATATATCTCAGTCATGAATTTCTTAACCTTGCTTAAATTCCCCTAAACTCCTAAAAGGAGCAAGATATTACATGAAAAGCATTAGGCTATAAGGAAAAGTTTGCAAAGACAAGCATTGTTGAGATATCTAGTTGTAATTTATCGCATTTACTATGGGTATCGGACTGCGCAGCTCGCTTGTGTGCGTAGCTCGCATGTGAAATACGTTATATCGCAATCACAAATTCATAAACCTTCTCTAAACTTCCTAAAGAGGCTAGATATTATCTAGAAAGGATTAAGCTATAAGGAACACCCCTTACAACCAACCGTTGTTGAGAAGTGAAGTTGTAATCTATTATATTTACTATATGTTTTTGGGATGGCCGCTCGCTTGTGAAATACGTTAGATATATATAGACCCAGGATATCGATTACGTATATATAAACATGAATTATTATAGGATCATATACTATACTATACGCCAAGGAATACTAGCGTAACCCTGCAACTAAACCGCAATAGGCAGTCAAAAAAAAGCATCCCAATATAGTAATACGCTAGCCTATAGTAGTAATAGGGGGTCGATATAGTGTGTGGGGGGGGGGGGGGTCAGTATACTAGATGCATCCAAAATTTCAGGTAGGGAAGCGTCAGATTATCCAGTTGGGGGGCGGGAGGTCAAATCAATAACTCCCCATCAACATACTGCCTGGTAAAACCGAGCTCGCCCGGCCGAGCATTTTGCCTTAGCTGAATATGTCTAATAGGTTGTTGGGTGGGGTGCGCAGCTCGCTTGTGAAATACGTTACCTACCACCACCTGGGCAACGGATTTTTAGGCAATCAAAATGTATTATGAATATTGATTCTATTGAAGATCTAAAATGGCTCATCCTATCACCAGGCACATTGAAATATTAAATACATTATCACATTACTATCCCGAGGATAATAAGCATCATGAGAAACTATGCGCTCACCGGGCAATATCCAGGGCGCAACACTGTGGAGAAATACCCAAATAGGGATTTGAAGAGGCAAGCATAACGTGCACGAATAAAGGTAAACATGCAACTGCTTACTGGGCCTTCGAAACTTTGGCCTTGTTTTCTCTTCGGCGCTTCAGCGCATCGGGGGTGTACTCGGTGTCAAGAACATAATCCCACCACCGGAAGCTGCTAGCATAGTTCCCGATGAACTTCTCATGATGGAGATCGTGGTGATCGGCACCAGCCCAGAAGGGAAGGAAATGGTGAAGACTCCATGGAAATTCATAACCGCTGTGAGCATCGATGGCCTGGAACAAGCGCAAGACGATCCAGATGTACATGGTAAGAATGTGCAGTTCGCCTGTCATAGCACACCAAACGATTGGGCACCCAATCGTGCCGAAGCCCAAGATCATCACTTCAATCGGTGAGGCATATTCAGCAGCTAAGCCAAAAGGGGCTGAGTACTGGTGGTGGATTTTGTGAATGGCCTTGTAGAGGGGACCCCAATGAAGAGCACGGTGGGAGAAGTAATGCCAGGTATCCTCCATCACAAAGAAGATTGCAATCTGATAAGCCATGGTCCAAAGGGTAGGGAATGGGATCGAGGTCGAGAGCCCACAGAATTGTGCCAAGGGGTGGAATAGCCTAGCACGCAGGTTAGATCCTCAAAGATTTCTCTGAATTTGGAAGGTATTTAATTCTTACCAGATTTGGGGTAGTTCGACAGTGAAATGACTCAGGAGCACGAACTTGGCGCAATCCCACTGTTCCCTCAGCGATGGGATCTTATTCTGCATGGTATTAGAAATGGTCCAATGAAAAATGGAAGGGTGCTACTTACACCCTGAATTTTGTAGCGGTTGAACAGGCTAAATGTGTCGATGAAAATCCAGGGCAGCGAGCGACCGAAGTAGACAATTTCATGCATGGCGAATGACATGATTCCAGTGGCCAGGACATCGTTCTGCATCCAAGCATACCAGGCTGCCCACAACCTCTCTGCCACATTCAGGTCGGCATTGTACTTCCCAATCTCCTCGAATTGGCCCCAGTATGTCCCCGAGGACAGGACCGTTGAATTCCTATGTAGAATATTAGTATATTGAGCCAAGTAAAGGGTATGATCACCATACATTTCAAAGGTTGTTGTGTTCTTCAGAAAGTAAGGAAGAAAAGCAGAAAACAGGAAGCAGAAAAGAAAAAAAAAAAAAGTAAAAAAGAAGAAGAAGAAATGGAAGATAGAAGTAAGTGAAGCCCAAGTCCAGAGTAATCTATGGAAGGTTATAAAGGAAAAGGGAAAAGCAGATCAAGAGATAAAGGATAGTCCAATCCCGACGTGGCGAGATCAGCTTTTTTTTTTTTCCCCCTGAACGTAGGGGTAAGGCCACTGGCAAAGCCGATCCCCCGAGATCACCCCACCTGCATAAAATCAGGTAATGTGGAATTCGCTGGTTTTTGTTTGGTTGAAAGAGAGGTCTTGACTTCTACTATTTTTGATACAAATATAGTATATATCCATGGATGTATCTTACGATTTTCTCTAGATAATAGTTACTTCTCCATATATTATCTTGTATCATATTAATATTATCCTGACTTCAAAATGTGTATACACAAAATATGTTGTACACAAAAAAAAAAGACCTGTGACCCCAGTATGTTCTCTACTTTGTACTGTGTAGGTTCAAGTATAGTTTGCACTGTTTGTATAATTTCAAGAATTTGCAATGTTTACACGGTTTACATTATTTGCATTGTTTGCATTATTGCATGACGACATTAACCTTAATCCTTATTTTCCTTACAATAGTTATCTATCCATATACCACTCTAGGTACTACTACAACATAGATACTAGTATGGTCTGCTTTTAAAGGTAGGTGTACCTCATACTATTGGAAGATCCTGGAATGTCTGTTATACGAGAGTGAGTGTAACACAATTCCTGAAAAGAAACTTTGTACTCAAATTGGGTTTTTTCAACCCCCCAACAGAACTGTTTGTGGCATCAACACTCAGCTTGATCGCCTTCAACAACAAATTGCAAGCCCACAAAGTCTGGACCCCACAGATTTATCCACCGAATCTCTTGAGTCAATTGGCCAATTGCAAGATCTCATCAGCTCCATTTCGGTGACTTCCAAGACCCAATCCCTCCTACCTCCCAGTCGGTTGGCAGACTTACTTTCGGGTACTTTGTCTCGCCTCCAAATACAAACGACTCTACATGAAGGAAATAGTACTCAACTATCGGACCATGTATGGATAGTGGCTGCAAAGGCGGCCATTCAGGCATCAGGACTGGTCATGAACACCCTCCTCGATCAAACACTTCAACTTCATGATGAGACTTATTACTGGGGTGAGATGTTGGGATCTGTCTGGTATAGCGGTCTGTATGCCGTCCAGAAATCTCCAGCGCAATTCTGCCGGTGGACGAAGGATGTATCCCTCGCTCAAACTTATCAAGGAGTCCCATCCATCACTGCCAGGTGGAGCCGATTTTACCAGATTGTCCGCCAAAGTGCTTGGAAACTTGGAGGACACTCCATACGTGCCAATTTGTTATACCCAATTAGATCATCCCGGGTAGAAATGCGACAAAAACGAGACTTGCTCTTGGAAATGAAAGACCTCCATACCAGTGGTCTTGGTCTTCTGATGGAGGGATGGCATCTTTTTGAATCGAATGACTTCGCGAGTTTAAGTCCCGGAACTATCAATGCCCAATGGTGCGATGCTGTTTACAGAGCAGTGGTTTTGATTGAAGCCATCTTTCAGCAGATAGCACTTGAGCCTAGCACTCACGAATTGGAACGAGGAGTGTTTGCCACTTTGGAGAGGGATGTTGACAACATTGAAACGTACACACAAGGGAAGGATCCCATGCATAAACCTTTGGACTTGATCGAGCGACTTGTGCATGTTCTTCGAGAGAAGTTGCCAAACCATACCACTTCAATGTCATTATTTATTCGTCGCCATGGGCGTCCTTCATGCATAATCCGCTACTGGTTACCAGTCTCAGCCGCTCTCCTATCAGGAAGTGCATCAATGAGGTTTTTGGCCAACCGACAAGAGGAAATCATCCAGTCAATTGTCAATATCGGTTCCACCACTATCGATTTCTGGGGTAATTGGGTTGTACACCCAATCCGAAACCTCATCGGGACGATCAGACACGATGAAAAAAGCGAGATTGCAATCATGAGCAAGAATAGCTTGCTCGCTGATCGGGCAAGTCTAGAGAGAATGGTAGTGGACTTTGTCCGCGACCGTCCGGACCTTAATCAGGGTGTGGTGACGGACACCACCGCCATCGTTAATTCTGTTAAGGAGGGTGATTTGACTCCCGTTCTAAAAGCATATGAAAGGGATTTGAGGTCACCATTCGTTGGAACCGTTAGAGGCGATCTTATTCGTGCTCTTCTAATCCAGATCCAGAAGACAAAGGTCGATGTGGAAATTGCCATCAGTGGGATCGATGCATTGCTGAAAAGCCAGGAGCTTGTATTTGGGTATGTGTCCCTTTGTCTGCGGGTCTCTTTAGTATCCCCCCCCTCTTCTTTTCTAACCATTTAATGTTCTTTAGATTTGTGGGGTTGACTCCTGGCATCTTGGTTTCCTTTGCAACTATGAGATGGCTAGGCGGTGTTCTCGGCAGCCGACGAGGATTGCGAAAGGGCAAGCAGCGACATAAACTGAGACGTGGATTGCGGTATGATAATCTCAAACCGGTGTACAAATTTTTAAATGACTAATGTCGAACGTGCAGGAATGTGGCCCGCATTTTGACTTCTTCTACGGTTTTATCCAATGGGACTGTTGCCTACAAGGACTATGGGCAATTGATTTGTGAGGCAGAGGATCTCCTTCAGCACGTGAAGATTATTTCTGGAAGCATGCAGTACCAAGAGTTCCGAGAGGATATCCAAGATCTTTTGAATGTTCAGAATGGAGTGGACAAGCAACTTCGCGTGATTGAAAGGATGAGATGGGCGTATTTCCAGTGATGTTAGTGACAACATGATTATTTCCTTAGGAATACTCGGCTATTCTATTTTACTAACTATTGGTATACATTGAATGATATATTTATATTAGATTATGTGCATATGCCCTGATGCAAATTATTCATGTCTACAACTGTCTTCGAGAGTTGCCTAGGAATGTACAAAAAGAGATCATGTAACGCTTGAAAATTCCAGCGACGGTTACATATTATATAGTACATAGCATACTATATAGTACATAGTACTAAAGTATATTTAACATGAATTATTTATATTCCTATGCTAAATCTATATGCCAGTAATATGCTGGTATGTGCCAATATATGGCCCAGGTGGTTTATTGTTCCCATGATATTGCTTACATAATATACAGAGATCCTCCCTACCGTTGCGTTACCGTCATCACCTCCACTCCGTAGGTGGTCGTTCTACCTCCTTTCCCATAAAACACTCCGAAATCTTTAGCTCGTGTATGCTTGATTGTGGATCTTTGCTTGAAGTCTACAATCCTTTCAATTTTTCTGCCCTTTTATCAGTCTGGGCGGTTCGGTTCCAGCATTTCACGAAGCTCCTGATAAGTCCTCGGGGCAACTTGGGAAAACCATCAACCTAAACCATTTGATTGCTCTGATTCATCCCACAGCAGTATCTAATCCTTCCGCTTTACATCAAAACCACTTCATCAAAACCAAATCCCTTGTCAGTCGACTTGACGAATTTCCGGATCACCTCGGTCAGGAGTCCTATCCATCTTCCACGGCGCTGCTTAGCTTCGGCGTTTACCTTTTACCCAAATATCGCCATAATCCATGATGGCTGGCACACGGAATTATGATTTCCTGGTTAGTATTTGCGGCCATTCAAAACCAAACAAAATTTCCCCCAAGCCCCGACAGTGTTAACTTTTGTCATAGATTAAACTGTTGTTGATCGGGGACTCGGGTGTGGGTAAATCATGTTGTCTGCTGCGATTCAGTGAAGACTCCTTTACCCCATCATTCATCACTACAATCGGGATTGATTTCAAAATTCGTACGATCGAGTTGGACGGCAAGAGGGTGAAGTTGCAGATTTGGGACACCGCAGGCCAAGAGCGCTTTCGCACTATCACGACAGCATACTACCGAGGTGCTATGGGAATTCTGCTAGTCTACGACGTGACAGATGAACGGTCATTCCAAAGTAGGAGTTTCTCTCCCCTCTCCAATCAACTGGATGTGTCTGATCATTTTCTTTAGACATTCGGACATGGTTTTCAAACGTCGAGCAACATGCTAGTGAAGGTGTACACAAGATTCTCATCGGAAATAAGTGCGACTGGGAAGAAAAAAGGGCGGTCTCTACTGAACAAGGCCAGCAGCTCGCCGATGAACTCGGCATTCCCTTCCTCGAGGTTTCGGCCAAGAACAACATCAACATTGAGAAGGCATTCTACAGCCTTGCATCGGATATCAAGAAAGGGATGGACACTTCTAAGACCGAACAATCTGGTTCTCAGGGCGTTAATATAGACCAGCAAGGTTCTGGTCTGAATGGCAACTCTGGGGGCAAGTGTTGTTAGTTGCTGTATCACCACCCGTTTTGACTTTTGCCCATGATATCTCTCCCTTGTCGCCGTGTTTTAAGCTACCATATGTTTCTTATTTCCCCCTCCGCTTTCTTCTTTTCCCTCGTTTTCGTTTTGCTCGCTACACTATCATGTGCCAAGATTTGAATGTCCAAGTTTTTATGTCTGAAGAGTTGGCGCCTATGAACATCCGAGTATCATACAAACTTGTCCATATCCCGCTTTTTGATACTTTGACGTAGTTTGTCTATACTTTTTCCTTTTCCTTTTCATTCTTTCCAGTCTACCTTCAACCTATACAGCTTCGGTAAGAATATCATCTTTCATCTATACAGTTTTCACCAGAGTAATGTCCCAGTGTGACCCACTTTTTCCCCCCTAAATCTTTAAAGCTTTCTATTTCTCTTCTTTTCTCTTTACTCTGCTTTTCTTTTGGATAATCTTTCTAATAATTCTCCCTCTCTTCAATAGAGATTGAAGTCTTTATTTGAGGGGACAATCCTGTTAAATCCAACCATTCCCTGGAGTTGCCCCTCCCCCACCAAAAAAAAAAAAAAAAAAAAAAAAAAAAAAAAAACTCTTGGAATATTCAGACTGGGTATTCCATGCAGTAAAAACACATCCGCCCATAATCTCAAGCTTCTAACATATCCGACACAGAAGAAAAAGAGAGAACACATACAAGAATAAAGGATTTCTGAGAATATCAACTTTTTTTGTTGCAAACACGTCCTTTCTCATTATGTCTGACGTCCGCCTTTTCACTGCTCGTCCATTGCCGAAGCACCAGGCACGGAAAGACTTGAAAGATGCATTTCGTGTCCATCTATCTTCCTCTTCGCTAGCTGCTCTAAGGCTTCAATCAGAGAGTATTTGCACGCTGAGGCAAGGCGATGGGCCACCGCTGACTGCCATAGCATGGTATGCAACAGAGAACATCCAGAGCACAGTCGTGCAAATATCAAGGACACTTCAGGATTGCTATGATATCAAGATCGGAGAGAAAACCTCTATCACCAGGGCTGAAGGCCCCCTAGAAAACATCGACCTAGTGACATTGGTGGACTGTTCAGATCCCGAAAAAATTGCCAGATATGGCTCAATTTCAGAAAGTGACAGGTCCCATTGGGAATGGGTCCTGGATGAAAAGCTTCTCCGATGCGAGTGTTTGACGGCAGGCTTGACTTTTGAGCTGGAGCTCAAGGGCCAATCTAGGAGTTTCCGAGTGGTTAACATACATTCACAGAACCCTCACTCTAGTCATACGCTTTTTCAATTCACAGAGGCGTCCAAGGTTTCCCTTGGTCCAATCACAGAAAGAAAAGAAGAAAATTCTTCAGCCATAGCAGTGCAATCTGCTGGCCTTGGAGGCCTCTCCCGCCAGATTGACGACATCAATGAGAGCTTATCTGATTTTAACATTGATCCGCTGAAGCCGGTGATGCCATCATTCTACGAGAACAGCCGAGGGATTCTACTCTATGGACCAAAGGGGACTGGCAAAACAAGTCTTCTAGAACAGATTGAAAAGGCTGGCTGGAAGCAAACGTTCAGAATCGGCATGTCAACTTTGGGCAGAAATACCAATGAGGGCGAGGTGAAGCTGCGCAATATCTTCCAGGAGGCGGCTCGCTCTAACCCCAGTGTGATCATCATCGACCAGTTGGAATTTATTGCCCCTAAGCGAACCTCGATTGAATCTCAGTCTCTTGCATCTGTTCTTTGTGAGAATCTAGATGCTATACGAAATACATCGATCCTCGTGGTGGCCGCAACAAGAAACCCTAATCAAGTCGATGACGCCCTCAGAACGCCCCATCGACTTGGGACAGAAATTGAGATCCAAGTCCCTACCGCTCAGGACCGAGCTGAAATACTACATGCCATTCGTGGGCCAGTATCTGCCGGTTTGACCGACGAGCTCATAGAGCTACTAGCAGAAAAGACACACGGATACGTTGGAGCTGACCTTTTTGCCCTTCTGCAATTGGTCTGTCGCAAAGCCCGACAACGACAACTGTTAGAGCAAAATTCCACAGCCATGTCGGCCGACCCGGTCGACCCGTATAGCTCGCACCACGGAGGTTCCAGCGATGAATTGACCATCTCATTGGAGATACAAGAAACAGATATCTTGCTTTCTCTCCAGGAAATTCGTCCCACGGCCATGCGGGAAGTGTTCCTGGAAACCCCAAAGGTGAGATGGTCCGACATCGGTGGACAGCATGATATCAAAAGACGCCTCCAAAAAGCCATTGAGCGGCCCTTGAAGGTAAGATCTGTATTCGAATCCCAGAAAACCCTTGGCTTGAGAAGACTAATGTATTTTTTTCTTAACAAAAACTGTAGTATCCTCAACGGATGCTCAGACTTAATGTGAATAGTAAAAAGGGTGTTTTACTTTACGGGCCGCCAGGTTGTTCCAAGACACTGATGGTCAAAGCCCTAGCCACAGAGGCAGGGCTGAATTTCCTGGCAGTCAAGGGTGCAGAGATTCTCAGCATGTACGTTGGAGAGTCTGAGCGATCATTGAGAGAGATCTTCAGAAAGGCCCGAGCAGCACGACCAAGTATCATATTCTTCGACGAGATTGATGCCATTGCTGCTCGACGCAGTAGTAGTTCGGGAGGGGTCAATGTGCTTACGACTTTGCTAAACGAAATGGACGGTATTGAGGAGCTCCGAAGCGTGTTGGTCATTGCTGCTACCAACAAGCCCGATGTTTTAGACCCTGCATTGATGCGACCTGGACGATTGGACAACATCCTTTATATTGGTCCTCCGGACTTTGAGGCGCGTAGGGAAATCCTGCGCATCTGGGCTAAGAAGTCTGTGGTAAACCCAGAAGTCGACTTGGATAATCTGGCATCTCTGACTGAGGGCTATTCTGGCGCCGAGATTGTGAGCATCTGTGAAACCGCTGGAGATGCAGCACTTGACGACGAGGAGGAAACGCAACAGGAGCAAGATGTGCAGTGGAAACACTTTGAATATGCACTTGGACAAGTGCGACGGCAAATCACGGATACTGTCATCCAAGAGTATGAGAGATGGAAAGAGGGCTAGAAGGAGGGGCTTCGATACTCTGCATATGTGCTTTGCTGTATATAATAAAAGTTATAAAGTTTTTGAAGAGAATTGAAGTGCGTATAAAGTATTACTAGGTGATTACCGAATTAAGTTAGTGCCAAAATGTGTAACATCCCTTCCCTCTCTCTCTCACTCTCTCTCTCTCTCTCTCTTTCTCCTAGCATAGTGTTCCAAGTATTCCAAGTTCTCCTATCTCTTTTCGAATTCCCTACTTCGATTCTCGTTTATCTAGAGCTGCTTGCTTTACATATTCAATTTGTATCGCTTGAAGCTAGCATTAATTTGGCACACCGTGCATTGAATCTTCAACATGTCCTTGAGATCGCCTCGCAGACAATCACCTTCACGTTCACCAGACCAGGATCAGGACCGAGCACAGTCGCGTTCTTTACCTCCAAAACCCCGAAGTGAAAGTCCATCACGAAGCCTCACCCGAAGTCCGTCACAAGGACGTCGCGATCGTTATCGTTCAAAGACCCGATCTCGATCCCCGTCTCGTGGGAGAACCCGATCTCGCAGTCTCAGTCGAGGTGGTCGCCGCTACAATAGCCGGAGTGAAAGCCGCTCACTTACTCCCAACCCTAGTCCTCCGAGAAGTTCTAAGGTAGGTGCCTACCCATTTCTACTGTGACATGACTGTCCATCCATTGACGGCTACCATATCTATGAACTTCGAACTGACTTTCCCTCCTTCTCAACAGATTGTGGTAGAAAAATTGACAAAAAATGTCACAGAAAATCACATCCGAGAGATCTTCGGGGGCTTTGGAGAGATAGAGTATCTCGATCTCCCAATCAACAAAGCCTGTAAGTCCCGCTTCTGACTCGTGATTTGAGATTTGTCTGTGTCTTAACACTCTTACAGTCATGACAAATAGGGGGACTGCATATATCCTTTACTACGACCCTGCTGACGCAGAGGCAGCCATAGCCCACATGCATGAGGCTCAGCTTGACGGGGCCATCCTGAATGTCTCAATCGTTCTCCCTCGCCGTAAATTCTCACGCTCGCCACCCCCTGCATCAAGTCGAGGGAATGGTGGTCGCCCCAGATACGGCCGAGGATCATATATAGGCCCACCATCTCCGCCCAGACGACACGGAGGCGGCCGACCTATAGAACGCCATGACATATATAGGCCCCAGACTGCATCCAGATCACGATCTCCTGTTCGTTCTCGGTCATACTCTCGATCTCGATCACCACCGCCGCGCAGGGGCAGCCTTCGCACAGACTCGCGGCATCATCGGCGCCGAAGCCCAAGCTACAGTAGCTATGGTTACAGCAGTCGAAGTCGCAGTCCAAACCGGAACCGAGGCCACAATCGAAATTAAACATCTTCCGATTTGCGGTCTCTTGTCTTGTTGTGTTGTGTCTTGGCTCAGCCCTAACGGGGGATTGCATGTGATCTTCGGTGCGGGCAACTGAATTTCTCTCGCAAGATATCCAGAATAGCTAGTTCCAAGCAACAGTCAACAAATCCTACTACCACTCTTAATGTAAGGATTACAAAATTGAGCGGCCCCCAGGTAGTCGGTATGTATATTCACTTATTAAGAAGTAAGATAGCCCTGGTTGGGTATTATACAAGACCGCAGTAGGAAGACTAATAGGGGACTTTTGTATGTACAACTTAAATAGAATGTATCACCAAAAGAAAAAAAAAGACCTTTAGAAGAACGAACACCATCCGATGTACATTGACGCCAGTTTCTTCTTATCCGTGGCTTGTATGATCAATTCATCCACTTGACCATCCACCGAAAGTGCAATGGGCTGCTTAGACATGAAGCCACGGAGTTTATTTCGAACATCTTCCAAAACGCCAGCCGGTGTGTCCGGGACATTCACATGGGTGCGACGCTGGGGTAAAGAGACTTGTTAGGAGGTGACTTGTTGGGAGCCGCAGTTAAAATGTGTACTCACTCTTTTCCCAATGAAATCGGTTGTTGGATCATGCAAAAATGTCTCGAGTACAGTCATTAAGGCATCCTCGTTCTGTCGCAGCAAGCTGAGCGTGATTTCACAAGTCCTTCTGAAGGGACCTAGACCTGAGAGATTAGCGCAAGAGTAAAACTCGAAAATAACTCAAACTGACCATTGTAACCGTAAGCGCCAAAGGCATCGATCATATTATGAGTCAGTCGGAATGGTACCACTTCGGGCTTTTCAAACGTTTGACCCTTGTCAAAGAGACAGTTGAAATCAACATGTAGGAGGCCACCTGTTCCTTCTTCGAATGAAAGGTTTTCGCCATGTCGATCGCCCAGACTATGTAAAAAAGGTTAGTGTGATTGAACTAGGGCAGTTGAAGCAAATAGAGAGTTCCCCTTCCCCCCTCTAAAACATTGAACGGCGAGAGAACATACCCAAGAACGTATCCCACCATTGACATCACAGCAGAAGACCGTGTATACCTCAGTCTCGCTGTAAACCACGCCTCTGTTTCAGGAAACATCTCGATAAACCATTCATGCAGAACCGGCGGGAGCCTGCAACTGTCAGTATAGTGGACTCGCGGGTTGATATCGACACGGGATTTACTTGGCCAAAATATTAGTTGTAAATAAGGGCAACTTTGCGAATGATCGATCAGCGCAGATTTCATTCAAATTATGCCTGATATCGTTGTACTATTGCACACGTTAATAACGCACAGCCTGGATATCGTGTTAGATGCGGAGTACCTACGTTTGGTGAAATGCCTCTTTCGCGCAGCAACTTAATGACGATCTCTCTCAGTGTGCGGAGGTTATCAACCCATTCAATAAGACCGCATTCTTCGTTTAGAGGCGTTACGGCGTATGTTTTGATGTCTGTTTCGGGTCAGCCTTTGGAATGGCCAAAAGTTCATCAAATCACCTACACATGCGTCGCTTGCTTGATTCGACGTCTCTCTTTAGGAACCGGTTGATCATATTGTTGAATTCCATGAGGCGTTGATCCTTGCGCAAATCGTCTTTGGGTTTGCAAAGTGCGTTGTATATCTTCCCATCGGATCCTCGTAAGCTGATTTTGCGTGGCTTTTGAAGCGAGTTCAAAATTTGTGCTTCATCCAAAACAGCTAATTTCGGTTAGTTTGTCTTTGCCGGAAGAGGATGTTGATAACCGTACCCTCAATGGTTGTTGGATCTCGAGGAAAGGCCCTGAATCCTTTGATATATTCAATGTTCTGACTGGCAGGGAGACTTGGGATCAACATTGCCTGGAAAGGCACTACTAATCGACATGGCGCAACTTTATGATTAAACCCTAGATTGCGGCCAAGTTGAACTCGAGATGACTTTTCCTCCACCGGAGCAAGGCAGAGTTGGAGTAGTTCCTCTGAGAACTTTGTACCTTGAGTGATCATGCGACGGATTTCCGACGCCGTTGAGGATTCTCCCTTTGACTTGTTACCATAGTCCTGAATAAGTCAGTCTCTTATACTTCGTTTCGAATGGATAATACTTACCATGATTCTCTGTAGACAATTATATCCCCTTTTAGCTCGCTCTTTATTCGAGGACTTGACAACGGCGAGGACTGTCCAGAGACCTTGCTGTGGAAAGTTGTGAACCGCCTTGGCTACAATGCGCGTCAACAGATCATAGACTGTGATATTAGGGTGACAAATCCTGGCAACCACTTGGGGTAGGATTGTGAACAACTACAACTGTCAGCTAGCTATCCGGGGAAAACAATATCTCAAATACCCACAAGAGCCGCTTGCAAGCGTTTGTCGATGAATTTTTTCAGTTGTGCATGCATCTCATCAAGGCTCTTCTTCCGTTGCGCTTGTGTATGTTTCTGGAATTCTCTAGTGGGTGGTGAATCGATTATTAGCAACTATTTACCAGTGGCCACATCATCGAACCATTTCTTACTCGTTATCTCCTCTCTTCGGATCAATGGGCTGCTCAACAATCGAGGCATGTTCAAGCCAGAGGGTCAGAAGCTTGGGTAAAGTCTGGAAGACATATTTGGTTCCATATGTCAGCGAGCGAAGATAATTGTCGACGACAAGCTTTGTAGCTTCTCCGCTCAAGCTGTGTGATATTGGTTAGTCTCAGGTAAGGAATGGAAAGTTTGATAACTGACTATATCTGAGCTTCCTTTCCCATAGGCTTAGCTTTCTCAGACTCCAAAATTTTATTGTAATGCTTTCCCAGGTAATAGTGCGCCCTTTCCCACCTGTTTTCCTATTAGAACCGACTATGTCAAAGTAGTTATGGTCTAACTTACTTTGGATATAGCTTAATAGCCTCTCGATATCTCTGGACAATGGCCTGAGAGTGGGTCTGACCAGCCCTGTCCGTCCATTTGGCCAGCATCAGATGAGCCTAGACGTGTTAGTACTCTAGTCTATGTGAGCTGTATTGGGTAACTTACAAGAGCAGTAGATTCATTCCGATGCTGCCCATGACCCGAGAGAAACGATATGGCTTCAATTTCGACCGAAGAAGATGTACTCGGGGTAACTTCGTTAGCAGAAATCGCACCCTCTAGGGTCTGGATGGCCTTTCGATGGTGTCCATCTTTCCACAGGAGTCGCGCGTGTTCTATGGAAGCAGATCTGTCTTTCAACCGTGCTGCGTTGAGCATTGAGTGATACGCTTGGCTGCTGAAATTGCCTTTCCTTGAAAGACGAGCACTGGTGAGCCATGCAGCGGATATATCAGAATCCGCAAACTCGCCCCTGTATCGTACTTTTAGTTATCTGTTTCGTGTTTTGCGGACCATGAACTCACGCTAGCTCCATTGTGGCTCGTCTCAAACCCAATAGGTATTGCTTATCGGAAAGGTAGCCACCCAAAACGTCCAATCGCCGGTCTAGGGCACACAGCAAGCCTGAGCGCGATTGACCTGATTGTGGTTTGGCAATAGATTCGACCTCCGACAAAGCATGTAACCGGAGCATGTCATCATGGCATGCTTGTAGTGATGCCACCGAATTTGTGGTTAATGATCGGGCAACGTTGAGCCTGAGCTCGTTTATTTTATCAGTAAATGGTTCGTGTTGCTTTTGACGAAGAGCATCGAGAGCTGAGCCTATCCCGACATTGAACTCTTCAGTTCCTTGTTTGGCACAAAGATCAAGATAACCCTCCAGCTTGTCCCATCTGCTCATTATCCACGAAGCTTCAACTGCAAAGGGCAGAAACCGTGAAGCTGCTGACTCATTTTCTTTGAGAACCTCAAAGCGAGTGAGAATAGCATCTAGATAACAGTGAGCAAGAAGATAAATCATGTAAAAACTGTTTCAGGTTTTATCTTACCTTGCTGGCCAGATTCTTTGAGACAGGTCACAAGATTCCATTGTGCATCGACATTGTCAGGCTCCTTCTCGAGTTGTAGCTCGTACCAACTCTGCGCCGTCGCCCATCTCCCTGCTTTCCGGTGCTCAAGGATCTGCTGGTCAATGTCTAGTGCGGACAGATGGCTTGAAATGCCCTCAATTCCATCAGGTTCATCAATCTGGCTATAGATGTCTTGTAATCTTTGGTATAGAGGTTCAAGGCTGGATCGATCTTGTGATTCTCCGTGGACCTTGCATTTTCGAATGTACTGCTCCCAATGGAAAAGTGCTTTGGAGAATGATTTACATTCAACAGCTCGCCTGGATATAATCTCCGGTGGTATTGAGGATAAGAGATTTTCGACAGACTTGATCTGTGATGAGTATTTATCAATGAGCGCTTCACGACTTGGATCTTTATGGGAACGAGTCGTTTGGTTGGAATTGTGGTTGAGGCCATTGAGATGCTTTTTCTTCCCTTGCAGCCATCTAGACAGGTAGTCTAGCACTTCGAAAACACTCTACCGTTGAAAAAGGATCATTGTCAGTACTGAAAGTCTAGTTCAATTCCATAGGGATTCTCACCTGGCTACTGCTTATGATTGTCTCACGAATATTGTTGTTTGTCTCTGGAATAGGATGCGAAAGAACGCTCATCAATTCGTGTTGAAGATTTTGTTGTTCTTGTTCAGTCCCTCCTACGATGCGGTTCAGGACCGCAAATGGTAAAAGGAACGAAGAGATGGAGATGTCTTGACCCTTCACAACACGACTCGATATTGAGAAGACCATTTTTGCGTTGTCTCCATTCCCAGTTTGTAGAAGATCTTGTACCAATGTTCGAAGCCACTCACTATGAGTTAATTTAGGGGAAAAGAGCGGATATTTGACCTCGGTGTGATTGGTCACAACAGTAACCGTATAGGTAGACGTAAGAAATGGTGTAAGAGTGTTGCGAACACTTTCTGGAAGCTCCATCCAGCGTTGATACTTCTCATCGCCTTGCAAATCGCGAGAGCGTTGGGTTAACACCGCATTCAGCTTGCAAAATTTGAGCAGACCTTGCATGGCCCATGCAAGAAAACCCTGAGCCCTGGTATTGGAAGCAGACAAGAATGCCTCAACCAGAACATGTTGGAGGAAGAAAAGAATGAATGCGACTGTTTCTTCCATTCTATCGAAGTTGGACAAGACAAGTATATCCTTCTTTTCTTTAATTGTTTCAACTCGATTTGGATCGAGACAGCCAACAAGCCCTAAACATCGAGCCGACAATAAAGTAATACTGTCTGAAGTGTTACTGAATTTAACACAACAGTCCAACAATGACCTAGTTAGCTGAGCAATCACAGGGTCTGGCTGTTCACTCAAAACAGAGTCATGGAGAAACTCCTCATTTGCTGACAGAAAAGGGGCTAACTCCATTAGAGCTTGCTCAACAACGGTGGCATTTTCACTCTGACAGCGACGAATTAACGCCAGAAACTGGCTTCGAACGTCCATTTGCGCTCTCAGGTCATTTATTTTAGCATCAAAGGCAGCCATCTCTGGAATGGACGCAAGGGAAGGCATGGTGTTGAAGGTATCTTGTACTAGGCTTGAGTGGTTCGTCAATATATGATCGATGAGTTGACATGCGCGGTTTCTGCTCTCTTCGGTCAGATTACTCCAATATCTGATCACAATCGCTAGCGTTTGATCAATTATTGGCTCAAGGTCCTCTTCACTCAGAGAACTGATCAATGTTTTCCACGCGGAAAATGCATAATCACACAGTTCCTCGATCTCTAGCGCGGATCGAAGACATGCACAAACCTGCGATATTTAGTAACAAAGAATTGCCCGATTCGCAGGCTGTATACATACCTGTGGCAATGCACTGCTAACATGACCTTGGGCGATATTGATCATTTCTTCGATGGCTTTGATGTTTCGCCTCTTCTCCGCCAACGTCTGTCGCACTTGGAAGTCGTTAATGGCATTTGCGAATTGTGTGATAATACCGAGAACGTGCTCCTCGATGAAGTGACTTAAACCCGCTTTCTTCGATGAACCTCCATGTGCAATCTTTCGTGGAACAAACGTGGCTAATCGATGGAGGGCTTGATTGAACTTAGAAGACTCTCATTAGTGGTGTAGAAGAAGTGGAAATAAACAAGAACATACTCTCTCTTTCTTTTGCTCGCCTGCATCGCCAAGACTCTTTAGCAAGTCACAAGCAATGAGAATTGGCTCAATCCGCACCAACTCCGCTAAAGATCGACCCTTGAATGCAGGATCTATCTCTGCTAGAAGGGACATGATCATACCCTCCGGGTTTTCTGACTGCTGGGATAGCAGGAAAGCAAGGATTGCAGCCAGGTTATTCTTCTCCGAGCAGACATCAAAAGCAGACTCGCCTTCGTTACGACTAGCCCCAATTCTGCAAATGATGTCTCGTTTTCGTGTCAAAACCAGATAGGGCAAGACGTGGACTTCTGTCAACCGTAGGAAACCATCAACCTTCATGCCAAGCAAATCACATAGCTGTTCGGCCATATACGGGCGAGACTGGAGGTTCTTGACCACAGTTACCGAAAGGGTTCTCCAGTAAGGCCGAAAGAGGCCAGCAGGTGTCAAGGAAAACTGTTGGGCAAGTTTGGATAACTAGATTCAGAAGTGTCACCATACACGTTGAAATGAAGAACAAGGTAATCAGAAGTATAATATCAGGGGTACTCACCTCGTTGTAAGCCACGGCGCAGATGTAGGGGTTTGGATGACCAAGGTACTCCAAGAGTCGAAGGAGAATGATGTTTTTCTCTTCATCTTCCGAGACACTATATACAACAAATTGTGAGATGAAGTAACGAGATTTTGGGGTGTAGAAACGCACATTGCCAGCCCACAAAGTGTTATGATACAAGCTTCCTGTAACGGCATATCATCTTTTCCGGAAAGATTTTTAAGCCACTCAAGCACAACGACGAAATTGGCCCGACGGATATCTGTTGGTAGATTTGACCGCACGAATGCTACTACTGAGTGTCTATATCATAGTCAGTATAAAGTATGCGTTTAGCGTGACTATGGAACGCACCCAGTTGCAACACGCAATTCTCTGATCGAGCTCCGGAGAGAATGAAGACAGAATTCCCCGAAGGCAGAGTTTGAAATATGCATTTCACTAGAGCTTGGGGCGTGCATCAGAATTCTTCTGAGCGCAATCATTGCGGATATCCGAGGACCAGGCGTGCGTGTAAGCCTGGGTAGGATGAAATTGAATAGTGACCATATATCCTCAAATCCGGGATGTTCCTCATTTCCCGTGCGGTCATTCTGATATTGATCCGTATCGCATGTTTGACAAAAGAGAGTGTCTCGTTTTATGACATCCGAGGGTTTCCTCAAAAGTTTCTCTGCCGTTGCACAGCACATTTTACCTAGGATGTCCAATAGCTCGGTTTTTTTAGACTCGGAAAGTTCCTCAAAGGATGTTCTTTTACATAAATAAATCAGCATTTCATACCTCGAGGGGTATGTATCCGTTGGTCACTTACTGGATGCAGGTGCGCAGATCTACGATCGTTTTGCCACAGTCACATTGAAGAATCGCTGATATATTCCCAAGAAGGAAATGAAACAGGTCTTGATTGGTAGACCCTGTTGGTAGACCTGGAAGACACAGCCGCTTCGATGCCTGGGCATATTCATTCAGCTCTGCTTGGTTCAAAACGCCGGCTCTCTGAAATGTTGTATTTAACTCCCCAGAAAGATTCTCTGGTGACTCTTTGGGTGAGTAAATTATCAACGGCGGTGCTGTATCCAGAAGCTGGGAATGCAAGGTCTGGAGAGCACTCTGGTCTGGTATTAGCTCGGTAACCCACCTGTGCTAGGTACGAGAGAAAGCTTACCCAGAGACACAACTCGAGGGACTGGAAGCTGTGATTTCTATCTTTGACTTCTATCAAAACCGGAAGGAGGGTTTCCCTCAATTGTTGCACCAGAGGTTGAGAGGATTTTGCAGTTTCTGTCAAATCGCACAAGAAGCGAGTTAGAATGACCTGGACAGAAGGCAACTCTCCGATATTCTCAAGGCTCAGAAAGCTACACAGGCATTGTGACCAAGTAGAAGTCAGGCTCATGTTTGAGAGCAGTCTAGCCAAAGTCGATTCTGGTACGTAGCATCGGTGCAAATATGTCAGATATTGAAAAGGCACAGTTGCATCTTCCGAGGTGAGTTGTGCTCCTTTTATTTGCAACCACTCGATAACGACTTGTCTAAGGCGATGAAAACCATTCAGTACCCACGAGAAGTTTTGGCGGAGGATGGAATCATGATGTTTGGCATGAGATTGCATTTCGCCCTTCAGATTGAATGAATCAAGCAATCGACATGCTAGAGAAGCTGTCTGCGCAAAGCCTCCAAGGGCCGTGCTACTCTTGAAGAATCCAGGGGAGATACCTAGGTTTTGGATATCCTCAATAAGCGATCCATCTGCGGCGGGTATCGATAACCCTCTAAGGCGTGTATCCCAAGAATTGCTACGTTGGGATGTTTCAAGTGAGCACAAAATATCTGGCGAATGTCAATTTGGCCCAGGGTTCTACGTCAATGGGGGCATGGAACGGACCTGACGTGCAAGCACGCAGAAATGTAGCAACGGCATAGCTTGCAGGCAATGAACGGGCTTGCTTGAACTGAGAATAAGCTAGGCTCGTGCAAAGAAGTTGAATCTTGTCTTGAACAGTTTCGAAGGTCCAGATGGTGGCGAGTCGGATTAGTCGTAGGATTAGCCATGCGAATAGGGGAGCATGTATGTCCTCGCCCAGGATAAGAGGGTCAGAGGATTCCCACAGAGCTTGGGGGGCTTTTTCAATGCTGGCCTGAATGATATCTAAGCAGTCGAGGACTTGACCTTCCAGATCTTGCTCTGATGCGCTGCTGCTCGGGCTAATCTCTAGGCCGGCCTTCAAGACAATGCAGATAAGTTTGTTGACATCAGTGGCGTCTTCATCGACGCGTAGTTGACTTTGTGCTTCACTAAGAAGTTCTTGGCGAAGCTGTGCAAATGTTTCCCGGGTTAGGTGTGAGTCGTTTCCCTGGGTTGCAAGATGCGGTACGAAACGCGAAGCAAGGATCGACGAAGCAGGTTCAGCTCTCCAAACGTTTACAGGCACGGCGGCCCGTTCATTCTCTCCCTCGATTGCCATATGCGACACACATGTTCATAGGACCAGGTTTGAAATTTCAATCCCTCGTTTTTGAACAAGTTCCGAGGCTGTGTTGTATTCGTGTGGGTGTTTGAAGTGCGCAGATATGCGGAGAGAGTTGATATGTTAATCAACACCTCAGGCACCAAGTATCCACCATTACATGCGCGCATACAATCTACAATAAATAACAGAGAGCTTATGCAAAGCTTATGATCATTTGAACTATAGTTTGTAATTCCAAATTGACCTTATATCTATCAAGTCAAGTACGTCAAGTAAAGGATCTAAGGTGTTATGTGGTCGCCTACATATGCAGCGACTTGAATTCACAACTAGCCATGGGATATTCATTATTCATATAGAAAATCAGAAATCTAGAAATTTTCAAAATTGGGACGTGTATGATTTAAGAGATGTAAGAGAGATTATAATTGTATGAATATCTCTCGTACTATTATGTCGGATCTTGAGTTGTGGCCCAGAGTTGGTTAACCTCACCTTGAAATTTCGGCTGCCGACTGCTCATTACCCTCCTCTGACTCCCTCACCTCCTCATAACCATGAGATAACTCACCAGTCACTGGAATCAACCCAGATAAGTCTAATATCTACATCAGAGAGGAAATAAACATTAAAATTGGCTATGGAGCTCAAGGGTAACTCTATGGTCGCGGAGGGTTCGAGACATGGACAGTTCATGAAAGAAGCCTTGTTGATGGTATGGAACTTCCTAATTCCAGGGAATCGAAACATACTAAATCAGATACCAGGGCGAGAAAGCTCTCCAATCAGGTGAAACTCCCGTTGGTTGTGTTCTGGTGCACAACGATCAAATTGTGGGATTTGGCATGAACGACACAAACAGATCTATGAATGTGAGTGATTTCTAAGGATCCTGATACGTAGAAACTGTTGACAATCCCCAGGGAACGAGACATGCCGAGTTTATAGCGATTGCAGAGATGCTCCAAAGCTACCCTAAGTCAGAATTGCAATCTACTGATCTTTACGTCACGGTTGAACCCTGTGTGATGTGCGCCTCTGCGCTGAAGCAGTATCGCATCCGCAGTGTGTACTTTGGGTGCGCCAATGATCGATTTGGAGGCACTGGAGGTGTTCTTTCATTACATTCCGAGTCAGTACATCTTAGAAAAAAATGCTGCCGACCGATTGTGCAAGGCTAATCAGATATAGCCCGTCAATTGATCCACCATACCCTGTCTACGGTGGGCTATTTAAGGAAGAAGCAATTATGTTGCTCCGTCGTTTCTATATACAGGAGAACGATAAAGGTAGGAGTTAGGAGGCCCAACCCTCAACCTTGATTACCTGCTGATTACATTGTCAGCCCCTAACCCCAGACCGAAAAAGAATCGAGAGTTGAACACTAGCTTTCAAAATGGTAGCAAAGAAGCGCCACCAACATGGTAGGCCGTAAGGCTCGGATTTGGGAGGTCTCCAAAGCTTTCACTACTCAATACCTTCAGGGCTAGATTGAATCTGCCTTTGATATGACCAGGAAATCATTAGTTCTAAAGGGTATCTCCATACAAATATAAAAAGTGTAAATGTTTATCAGAACGAAAATCTGTATTGTGAATATCAATTGCGCCCCCAAAAACACACAGACAAAGTCGGATATGTGTACAAATCTGCAACACTGAACGGAAAGACTGCCCATCATTCTTTTTTTCTTTCTAGTTGATGGTATATATTCATGAAGAGCCAGTGCGCTCTGCCTCCAGTTCCTTCTCAGCCTGCTGGTAGTATTTGGCAGTGTCCACGCCATGCTGATACAAGAACAATCAACATTACCCCCTCTCAAATTGGCTTGAATGGAAGACTTACCTGATCATGGTTTACAAGGTTGAACCATGGGACAACATGGATGAAAAGTTCTGAGTACCGCGAGTTGCGGGCTGCCATGCCCTGTAGATAAGACGACATTTGGGATTTACCATACAGAGGCTCGCCCTTCTTGACCTTGTCGACCATCTCACGAGTATCCATTTCGACCTCTCTAGCATTCTCGGTGAAGCCGTAAAAGCGCTCTGTGAAGGTGTGGGTTAAGAAGTCTTCCCAAAAAAAAGCGGGCGAAGGTTCAGGTGGAGGGATATGGCTTACGACAGGATCGCTGATAGAGAACATGAAGGCCGCCAAGTAGACCAACAGCTGTCGCCAGTCGCATAACGGGAGCGAAGCCACCACGGCCTACATGCGACGGGCTTGCTCTCTCCATGATCCAGAACGAGATGGGAGCAGCCGAGGCCATACCGCCGGCCACGGCCCAGTCGGAAGGCCGGGCATATCCGAACACCCGCTTCAAATGCCTGATAATTATGTGAGCTTGTGAAAAGATGTTAGAATCCGGGGTAAAGCGTACGGGTCGGAATCGATCAACTGCGGGATATGTTAGCAAAAGACGTACGCGAACGAGCAATCGGGGGCGAAAAAGTAGCAGCGCCATTTCATGTTGGATCAATCATACCGGGTAATCAGTGTTAGCCCGCTTAGAGGGCACAATGGCTGTTTTGGTATCGGTCGCCATGTTGCTAGAAGTGTGGATGTGCAAGCATTCGAGGTTGAAGTTCTGGGAGTTGGAGGGAGAGGAGTATGAAACTAACCTTATTAGGACTAGTATACTTAAGGCGGACAAGAGGCCCGACGGCCAATCATAGCATAGATAACAGGCTACTCGCGTCACGCGTCGAGGCCTCATCTGATTGACTGACATGGGATTCCAAAGATCGTACCCATCTCAGGAATTGAATTGCTCTAATTCAGGCGCCACTTTCATTTTTATTTTTTGTTAACACTCCGGTTACCGCGATCCTCCCAAATCGGTCCCTCAAAATACAATTGCACCTACGACAGTATCTCTGCGCGATTGGAACTATGGCGAATGCGAACGTCCCAGAGCAAGGAAGCTCACCAACAGCGGGTGATTTAAATGATCTTTTTGATTATGACATTGGCTTGGATGAAATTATTCCGGATAACAATGTTCCCAATGCCCACAGCACCAAGGCCTCTGGGGCAGGGCTCTCGGCACTTGGTTTGGGTCTTGACGAAGAAGTCAAAGTCGCAAAGAAACGACAACCTGTGGCCAAACTAGACGAGGGCCGGTGAGTCCCATGGCCTACCTTTTTTTTTTTTTTTTTTTTTTCTTCGTCTCGGGAGAACACCTGGGGCTGCAACAATGCTGATGAATATGCTAGCTTACTCTCACAACCGGGTATACCCAAACTGCGACATACTGCCAGACAGAAGCTGAAATTCAAGGGCAGAGGACACGAGGTTCGGTCTCTTGTCTTTTAAACAAACTTAAAGGATGGCTAGTGTAACTGACTTGGGTTCACTATAGTTCAAGGACGCCGCCCGCCTGCTCAACTTTTACCAGCTATGGCTCGATAATCTCTTTCCACGAGCAAAATTTGCAGACGGTCTGGTAATGATCGAGAAACTGGGACACTCAAAACGCATCCAGGCCATGCGACGAGAATGGATAGACGAGGAGAAACCGAGACTTTTCGATAGCCTTAGATCCACGCAAGAAGAGCTCGAAAATCGACACGTCCTCAAGAACCCTGCAGATTCCAATCGTAACCCAGCCACAATTACTCAGGACGAGGAAAGGGCTGTCGACCAAGATCTTTTTATTTCAGACCCAAACGAGAGTTTATGGCCCACAACCAGCTACCCCGAGCCCGAGGACGACGATTTGGATGATCTTCTCAGAGAACAGGATGCACCAATGACTGATTTCCTCGCCGACATGCGTGGCTCATCTTCACGGGCACCAAATGACGAGAACGATGAATATGATGCTGAATATGAAGCGATGAAGGAGCTTGGAATGTAGTTGTGAAACCTTGTACAATAAATTTCAACGACAGCGATGGAATGAATATCTTTAAATTCCTGCCAGACCATACCTGTCTAATAAAATCATATAGGCCATGTATGGCTCGGATAGGAATTGAACAATCGGACATCACGTGAGCCTAAAACTAGAATTACTAGGAGGAACATATTGGATTAGGTTGGAGAAAGAGAATTAAGTTCAAATAACATGCTAACTGGGTTGAATAATTCGAGATTGCAAAGAAGCTCTTCATGTACTGCTCTGGAAACAAGTGAACACGTAGAAAGGAGAAAAAGAGACATTAGATGTTACAATAGAAAATATGTCAATTGACCTCACTCGCTGGCAGGCTCTGTGAACACAGAGAACTGGCCACCCGCACCAGCCCAGTTCAGTTTCTTTCCACGAGTAGCAGTGTTGTCGATAACGGTAGCCATCTCAATGTCATCTTGTGTACCTTGTCCAGTTTGGTACGTAGCGGAGAATCCCCATGACCAGGCACGGCCATCGGTATCGATAGCGAGAGAGTGATCCGAAGCAGCCGCCACAACCTTGGCTTTGATGCCAGGAACTGGAGTAGGCGCAATCAGAATACGGGGGCGATCGCGTTCATCCTTGATAACGGCGTCATCGGCAAGTGTATCAATCTTCAGACCACTTTGGAAACCATCGAGGCGGCCCCAAACCAGGCACTCACCATCGCCGGCAATTGCAACTGAGTGATGAGCGCCACCGCAAATTTGCGAGATATTTTGGCCAGAAAGTGATTCCACAAGGGTGGGATGCACGATAGCGGCTTCATCGTCGCCAGCGCCCTCTCGGATAGCAGTTGCACCGAAGCTATTCAATCCCCATGCATAGACATTGCCGGTGGTGTGGACAGCAAACGAGTGGTACGAGCCGCTACCGATATGGATAATGTTCTTGGGGAGACCGAACTCCCGAGGCTGAAGACCATTCAATCTGTTGCGTTCCACGATTCTGCGGCCGAGCTGATTCTGCTGTCCTGAACCCCACGAGTAGACACGACCTTGGTCATTCAGGGCAAGAACGTGATTGGCTCCGCAAGTCAGGTGTGTGATCTTCTTCAAGGAGGAGATCAAAGTTGGAGTCGTTTGAACGTGAGAAGACGCGTCGAATCCGAGGATTCCATCATTGCTCTAGACTCGTTGTTAGCAGAAGAAATCCAATGCAAGGTAGTCAGACCATCTTACTCTGAATGTGCCCCAGCCATAAACCAGACCATCATCGGTCAGGGCAAAGCTTGCGCTATCCGCGGCGGCGACTTCAACGAAAACAGTGCCTTCAGGAAAAGCGGTAGCGGGAATAGCAGTGGGAATAGATTCACGGGGGTTTAATCCACTGTCTTCATCGTCTGAATCGGAATCGCTGTTGTTTTCAATGTCCTTGTATCCACCGTCCCACTCGGTTTCTCTTCCGAGCGCACCCTGGTCGTTCACACCCCACGAGAAGATCTTGTTGTCATGGGTCAGAGCTAGACAGTGCATGCCACCGACAGCAACCTGTACAACTCCGACCTCTTCGGCAGACAGAAGCTTATTCAAACGTGGGCGCTTCACATCGATGGCATTCTTAGCCGTGCCCAGACCTAGCTCACCAGAGCTACCCTCACCACAGACAAATACGTTCAGCTTAGTCTTTGGCGCCTCATTGATGACAATTTTGACTTTCTGTTTTGGCTGACGGGGTTGCGCGACACGAGACCTTTTGATTTCGCGAGGTTTCCCTTCATCCTCATCCGCCTTGCGCTTCTTCGTAGCAGATGTCGATTTGGTAGATGTTGCCATTTTACTTGGCTTCGCAGTAGACTTGGTAGATGTTGCAGTCGGCTTTGGGGCGGACTTTGTAGCGGGCTTTGTAGCGGGCTTTGCGGCAGACTTTGTAGCAGGCTTTGTAGCAAGCTTTGCGGCGGGCTTTGCGGCGGGCTTTGCGGCGGATTTCACAGGTTCTTTCACAGACTTTTCCGCCTTCGTCACGGTGACCTGCCTAGCGCTAGTGCGAGTACTTCTCTTCGCCGTCTCCGTAGAAGCCTCAACGGACTTGGACGTGTTCTTTTTAGGAGGCATTTTGTCTTGGACTTAGCTATTAGGAATAGCAAAGAATGAGAAATAACAGGTGGGGAGGAATGTTTGAAGCTGAGATCGAAAGAATAAAAGGGAAAAGGCGCGTCGAGGGTAAGGAAAAAAACGGTGCCAAGCCAAAACATAAGCCAAAACATAGCACATTCTCTCCCCAGCCACCTCAATGGGCTGATTGATTTATATTCCAATTTATTTTCATATTATGCACGTCACGCGTGAGTTATTTCCTTCTTCATTAACCGAATTGAATAAAATCAATAGAATTTTATTCAATAGAAGACAAGAGAGACAATAGAGAGAAAGTCATTGAGTTGTTTCTTCACGAATCTTTCCACACATAATCACATTCTGTCCCAGTGGCATCCATTTAACATCTCGAGGATTCAATGCAGCATTGGGTGTACCCTCTTGATCTTGTTTGGAGTCAGGGCTGACATTCACTCCACCACGGCCAAGGTAAGTGGGAGCAATAGTCACAATAATCGAGTCAATGAAGCTTGTATACTCTGGATTCAACAATTCGCTCAAGACCGTACCACCACCCTCAATCATGACACTCTTAATGCCCTCAGATGCCAAGGCGCGAAAGACAGCTTCCCAGCGTAATCGCCAGTGTTGATTGTATTCTACAATGCGGAGAAAATCTCCACCATAACCTTTGAGCATCACTAGTGTCTGGGGATTGATTTGAGCTCCTGGGGATAACACAACCCATGGAGCTTTGCCCTTGCCTTCAACTGCAGTACGTAACATCCGGCATTCAGGATGAACAGGCCATCGGCCCATAGGATCAATGATCACTGGCCGTGGTTGCCACATTCTTCCCAGACCTCCGAACCCACCGGCTCCTTCCAGACGGCAGTTCAGACCTGGATTATCTGCAAGAACAGTTCCTACCCCAACAAGAATGGCATTGTGTCGGGAGCGAAGATAATGGGTCATCAATTTGGCCTCTGGTCCGGACAATACCGTCTGCATTCCTGGTTGAAGAGAGATCTTGGAGTCCATCGACGATGCGTATGACAATGTGACATGGGGGAACTCCCGGCGCTCCGAGTGATTGGGAAGGTAAGGATGTAAGAAGTCTAGCGAAAATTGAGGGAATGATAGTGTGTCCGGGGGCAAAACTGACAAGATCGAGGTGGGTTTTGTTTGGGAGGACACCTCGTTGACACCATCGGTGCTTTGGGTTTTAACAATACCATGACCTTTCTGGTATTCGTAGCCCTCGTGGGCGACGAGATTCACCTCTGGGTTTTGTATACGCCACTTGGCGGAGATGTTGCGCACGTCCGTCACAGTGAGGAATCGCCCTCCAGCCTCCCCAAGCTTATCTGGTTCTTCTTGAAATTTTGTATAAATGGAAGAAGGGAGATATCCCTTCACAGATTCTTTGCGGGCATATTCCATTAATCCCGAGTTCCGCTTCACTCGGTCGATGTAGTCGAGGTCATGCGAGTGGATGCTGCAACTTCCCGGTGTTCTTGCGATAGTGACGGTCGAGTATGCGCCTTCGAATCGGACAACCTTGATTTGGAAGTTACATATGCCTCCCTCTCGGACTCGCTTTTTGCGAGGGCGCTTGCCCTCTGGCAAGGGGCGAGTTTCAGATGTGCGATGTGTTGGACGCCGCAATCGGCACATGTAATAGTCGGTGTTGCAGTGGCCCTCTTTGCTCGCATTTGATCTTTGTTTGACCCACACGTTGTCAATAAAGGGCCAATATGTTTCAAACTCTTCAAGACTGATTTCTATCGGGTCCTTGCACTCGAATAGGACCTTGCGTATGCGCGCTAGATTCGGTGGATTGTTGAAAAGACTGGGGGTAGCTTTTGCGCCTTGACTCATCGATGCGCCGCTGCTGTGAGGGTATCCGATGGTCGCACTGCACTGCGTCGACTCGTTCTCGTCACCATGTAATACTTGTTTATCAAGGGCACTGGATAGATTGATCGGGGTGGTTTCGGGCAGGATTTCGTCCATCGCGTCTCGTGTATCGCAGGTCCGTTCGATCTTTCGGTCTGTTCCCAAAGCGTCATTCCTCTGCACAGAAACTCCATTGTGCGGGGATCCCGCCTCGCTGGCAGAAGCCTCTAAGCTGGAGACGGACGTGTTGGAAGCATGGTCCATCCTGGGAATGGAAGTGTGGCAGAATACAGGTATAGCTCCTATTCCCAGCTATGGCAATAGAATAGCCATTTCACTAGGGATTAACCCCAGATAGACACAGATATATACATAGAGCAAAGTGTCAGAGAAGGAGCCTCGGGAAGAACTTAGTGGGGCGGAAGCATGAAGGCCCGGACATATTACCCACGTTCTGAGGTCAACGGGTATACATCTAGGGGGAGATATATGTAAATACATATATGTCAGAGATTATACATGGAAAAATTGTCACAGTTTATACATTTTCCCACATTTTGCTGCTGTCTAGCTGGAAGAAAATATCCATAAAAAGAAGACATATAGAAAGACATCGCAAGGCTGCATAAGCCGCCGACCATTCTAGTAGGTATACATCAAAACTAGTACATAATCAGGGGAACAACCATGGATAGCTCACAGATTGCACTAAACCGAGTTTTGGAAAGCAAATAGAAATCACTAAAGCTATTAATCATTGCATTCTCATCGGTTGTATTATCGGAGATAAGTAAGCACAAAAAAAGTATCTCAGCATCTCAGCATCTCAGATCAAATCTAATATGCCCCGATATCCGCACCAGCACGAGCCAAAGTCTCATAGACTCGTGGAGGTAATTTGTACTTGACCATTCCTGAGAAGACCATGAGATCCTTGGCCATGACAAGCAAAGTATCCGCCAATCCCTGGCGCACTTCACTGTCGTACATGCCAAAGGTCCGCTTTTGGCGTTCATAGCCAATACATGTGATGCTCCACATGATGACAGGCCCGACGTTGCGTGAAATGATGGGTGGCAAAGATGAGAAAGCTTGGGCTGTGCTTCGAATGTACGACACGGAGCCCTGTGCTTGCAAGGGGAGAATATTCAAAGCGTTGATAGCCTGTTACGTTCATTAGTAATTCAATCATGAAATAAAACCATGGGTTGAAGACACTTACATCAAGAGCTGGTGCCCATCTGCCGGCTTCAACCTGAGTCTTTGCTTCCATCATGCGCAGCAATAACCCACAAGCATCACGGTTGACTTGCCGGATCTGCCCATAGTACATTCTGTCCGAATCGTAGAGACTGATCATGTTCTTGGCAAGCACGCCTGGATCATCCACGGCAGTCAAACTAAGGCTGCTTCCGGCTTCCACTGCCTCTGACTGACTATCTTGATTTTGGTCGACCCTTGGGCGCAGGGGTTGTAGCTTCGGCATAGCACCGCCTAGCTCAACCGCAATCGCATCTGACAATGCACGGTTGATGATGTCAATGACACGGTCATAGTTCTCTGCCAAGTGGTAGAGAAGCACGGCATCAGTGATTAATCCCTTATCATCCGCCACGGCAGCAGCTTGAACTGTGATAGTCTTCAAGAATTCTTGCTGGTCAACCAATTTGATCAAATCGAGACGTTGCTCGATGGCCCCCTTGAGGCGAGTACCATCCGCCCGAATATCGCCAAGCAACTTGGCAAAGTCTCTGGTTTCTAGAATAAACTCTCGCAAGGCTTCGTGACAGACTGATGCTTGAGACTTGCCCAGAGCACCTGGAAGATCTGCATTGAGGCAGATCAGTGTGAAGTAATCGATGGCAGCTTCGACAAATCCAGTGCGGAATTCTCGGGTGTATTGGGTCAAGAGATATCCAAAATTGATCTGGGGATATTGCTTGACTGTAAAGGAGACTGCATAAAGCGAGAGAATTCAAGGTTAGCAAGATTAGACTATTATGGCAGAAGGGGAGCTTACGAATCTCTTCACCAGAGGTGTAAAAGTCGGACACGCGCAAAAGTCCATAGTAGGACAGAGCAATGGCGAAATGAACAGCAGTGACTGGGGCATAAGTGCCAAGATAATGCACAGCCTGCTCAAACATCCCTCCTAATATCTGCAGCAGGAAGTAAGTTCCATAGCCACCGGGTCCCTCGTTGCCCTTGACGAAGACTCTTTGACCAATCTCCTGGATATCGGTCTGAATATCCTCCAGGCCGAAGACGTCACCTGCAACCTCTTCGGCGCGATCATCTTCTCTTGCAAGGCTGAACTGTAGCCACATCCAGTCCTCGACGGTTTGCTTCACGCCATCCAAGCGACGACGCGAGAGATCACAGCGGCCAATGATCTTGTAGCATGCCATTCGGTAAGGATCGACTGTATTTTCAGGTGCATTCCGTGAGCGTTGCTGGAACTCCCCGTTGATCTTTTGCTGCAAGTCTCGGGGCAATCTCCTGCTCTGCGCGTAGGTTGTCATGTATGTCACGAATTTGTGATCCAAAGACCGGAACCCGCTGTCCCGACTCACGTATTCAGCTGCTTCAGTCACGAAACCACATCGAAGAAGGTAAAATATGAGAATCCAGCAGTAGTCTTGGTTCACCATCTGGAGCTCGGTGCCATCGGGTGCCAGATCCTTCCTTGCGGCTTGAAGACGGATGTAGGCACGAATCTTGTTGATCACGGTTGGAATTCCTCCTAATTGTGCTTCCCGGGGGTTTTTGGCAATGGCAGTTTCCACTTCGTCAAAGAATGTGCTCTCAAGGAAACTCCTGGAGCCTTCGAGAATCTGTTTCTTGAGTTCGATTGCTTTGAGAGATTTGGAAGATTCTTCAAGATAATCCTCAGCATACTGCCGCTCTTTCACTGCTCCGGGCTCCGATGGATTCATGATGTTTGGCTTCTCGTGGACAATTTGTATCAAGGCTTGATATGCATTGAAGAGTTGCCGAGGTACCTGAAAAACTATTAGCTGGACGAACATAAATGTTGCGAGAGGGTTTGAAACTTACATCACCACCAGCTTGCACTTCAATACATGAAAACTCGTCGAGTACGGGATAGCATTTTCCTT